GCACTCGCCTGTAGAGAGAATCCACCCCCTGCTACCCGCACCAAGGCGGAACAAGTCAAGGAAGAGCTTCAGCGTACAACTTTGGTCACAGTCAGGTCTCTCTGGGCTCTGAGAGATCAAGTGCATCAGAATCGTACCCAGCTCCTCTCTACTGCCTTACTTCACTGTGTAGCCTCGGCACTCACACCGGTTCAAGCTTACCTACCTGCACGCGTCTCATCCTGGCTGAGAACCAGCACCTCGCGTTATCTGGGCGCAATCCTACGTTGGTGGAAGCTCAGCACCCAACACGACTGCCAAGCGAGGGCTCTTCGCAAACATTGCCGCGCCAGGAAGAAGAAACACCTTGAAGCTCTCATTGCTGACGCACAGGCTGGCAAGCACTGCCTGACGGCCTTACATAACATCCTGAAGAGATTTGCGCCTAAAACCCGGCCCAAACGCATCCAACTTCGGACCTCCAGCGGCGACATTCAATCGCCGTCAGCTGAGCTAGCTCAGATCCTCTCGCATTTCCGCGTTGTCTACGACTCGCCGACAACCCAACCATCACCTAGAGCTGTTTTGTCTCTGATCACCTTTTCCATCACAGAGATAACTAATGCTTTTCTGCATCTCCCACGGAAGGCTCTCCCATCACATTATCCTCCAGCTCCGCTCTGGCAAGCAGCCGCCCCCTTAGCTGCTAGTGTCTTTCACGAATGTCTGCATCAAGCGTTTAAGTCTGAGCGCCTTTATCTACCAGACACATGGCATAGAATCCAGGTGGCACTCATCCCTAAACCCTCTAAGCCCCTAAACTGCCCGGGTTCGCTTAGACCCATTTCCCTACTGCCGCCGATGGCAAAAGTCCTGGCGAAACTTCTCGCCTCCCGCATTCGTCCTTTTGCGCAGGAAGCTGCCTCCAAACTTCCGCAATATGCCTACCTCCCACAGAGGCAAACGCTCGACGCTCTCGATCGCGCTTTCTCCCATTGCCACTCGGTGCGACTTAAGCGACAGACAGGCTACATTACCACGAGGGATCGCTACGAAGGCAAAATAACAAGGCAGTGTGAAGGGGGCATAACCTTCTCACTTGATCTTCAGAGAGCTTTCGATAGCATCCCCTGGAGTTCACTAGAAACCAGTCTGCAAGACGCTGGTGTTCCTCGCTCGCTTGTACACCTCATAATGTACTTGCACGAACGAGCCACGTATGTCTTTCGCACCTCGCACTCGCAAGGCTCTATTTTCGCGGGACAGGGCATCAGGCAAGGCTGCGGTCTGGCTCCACTAGTATGGACCATTTACTCCCTGAAAATCCTTAAGAGCATGGCATCCATCGCCCCAAACTCGCAGCGGACGCTCTTTGCAGACGACTTTCTCTTCCAATGGAGCATAAGCTCGCCACAGGACTTCCTGAAAATCCCACACCAAATTGCTGGAATCATCCAGACCCTGAATAGGCAAGGGATGTGTTTAAGTCCGGGTAAATCGGTCATCCTGTACAGCTTGTGGGGTGGACAAGTGCCCAAGCTGCTCAAACCCCTAGTTAGGATGCACCCCACCCTAGGTCGTTGCTTTCGTGTGCCCCTTCATGACTATAAACAGGCTGTCTCACTCCCGGTTGTGAGCACCCATGTTTATCTTGGCATGGTTCTCTCCTATAAAAATTTCGAGATGCACAGCCTACGGCACAGAACTAGACAGTCCTGGATTGCTTTTAACAGAGGCAAGCACATACTCTGCAACAGAACGCTCAGCCTGCACTTGCGGCTACAGCTATATAAAGCACTGTGCCTCTCCATTCTCCGATATGGGCTTCCCAGCTGTGGGCTGACTGCTCTAGGGCGTGACAAATTCACCACCACTGTGCTGCGTCAAACACGCATGGTGGTTCGCAACCACTCCTACTTTACTGGACTTTCCAATGCAGACTTTCTCCAGCGATTCAAGTTGGAAGAGCCTCTCACAAGCTTCCATGGTATTCTCCTTAACAGGTTAAGAGGCATTGAGCACAAACCTGCAGCCCAGACCCACCCTCCTGAGGTCTGTGCCTGGTGGCAGCACCTTCGCTCCACTGTGGAGGCTCCGTCGGAGACTCCGGTGGATGAGAGGCAGTTAAGGCACAGGCGGGACACCCATCAATCTGAACCGTGTACTGTCTGCGGGGCTGTTTTTGTCAACGAGGCCGCGCTGCGCTTTCACATCACCAAGATGCATGTCCAACCGGACAAAAACACCCAAAAGGCCTTGAAGGCAGCGCTTCGTGTTCGCAAGGATGAACACATGCTGCATGCGCACGGCGGATTGCCGACCTGCAGGCACTGCAGACACAAGTTTTCGTCCTGGCCTCAGTTCATGAGCCACTTTAATCGGCAATGCTGCCCAGTTCTGCACCTTCAGCAAGCCTCTCAGTTTCCCCCGCTTCCCCCAGACCCGGCGCCGCTGATTCAACAAGCTGAACTGCTTTCTTTGGCCGCGACTTACACCTGGCAAGAGCTCGCTGCAGAAGTCCAAAAGTTTGGCAGGCTCCTGCACTGTCCGCTATGCAATCTTTGGATGGCGCAAACTGGCCAACTGGTGAAGCACATGCAAGCCCAGCACAATGACTTTTCCACCGCCATTTCTCTCATTCAGCAGTTCCTTCTTGAGTGTAAAGGTATTACCAAGCCTTGCCGCTTCTGCTCTACTAGTCATCACAAGGCCGCGGTGGGTTGTCCGGTTCTCTTTAGAGTTGCCCTTCTCTTGAATCACCACAACAGACTGCGACACACCCTTCAGGCTTCACAGCATGGAGGACGTCGGCCGGGACGAGCTAATCCGAGGACAGCAGGAGCTTGCGTTGTTCAACTCGATGATGCCAGCGCCGGGAGCCGCAATTCCCCCTTCGCAGGGAACCGGTCTGCGGAGACAACGAGATCGCAACGACGAAAGCCCACATGTCATCCGCAAGGCCTTCCGACCCAAAGGGAAGGGCCCGTCATATCCACAGGACAGACGAACCTCCGCCAGTTTCTTGGAGGACTCAAGCAGCAGCGATGCTCAGTTGGAAGTAGTGAAGATGATGGCCAGGCTCAGCGTACGCCAGGCCGACCAGCTGAGCATCCTGAAGTTAGACACGACCTATGTCTTGTTCCTCAAGACGCAAGGAGCAATGTCGATTACGAAGGATCTATGGGCAATGGGGAATCGGTGGCACGAACAGAAAGAACAAACTCCACAGGACATCACGATGCCGCTTCGCAACACCTTATTCTCCTGCCTTCTGCGCTCGCTGGATCTACGACTCCAGGCACTGCAAGAGAAGGAGGATGCCCGGGTGCAAGCCAGGAGCTTGCACTTGCTTCAGGACCGGGAGGATCACGTGTTGGCATTCAACTATATGCAATGGGACTCGCAGACCAGGCAGTACCTTGTGAAGAAGGACAGGGAGCCTCTTGCCCTGACCGAACTGAGGAGGGACATTGCCACCATGCAAGCCAATCTGGCCCATCCTCGGGTCGTCAACCGTTTTCACGCCATGAGGAAGCTTACGGAAGACCTGAGTGGGGACGTCCTGCCGATGCACTTGGAGATCGGACTTCGCAGCCAAGTTGCCCATCAGGTCTTCGACTGCCTGGACAAATGGTGTCACAGCGGCGCCTTTCACTTGATCTCAGCCACCCTTCGCCACGAACGCCTAGGCAGAGACGGTCTGGTCTCTTCGTTGGTGAAAGCTGTGGATCGTCTGTGAAGCCTGCCGTCAGTCGGAAGCTGAAACTCCTTAATACAGCCAATTTCTGTTACATAAACAGTTGCCTACATGCCCTTCTGCACTTGCAATCTCTCTGCCCACCTGCAGCCGATTTTGTAAGGCCAGACTTTCAGAAAATCTTGAAATGGCTGGCTACTCAGAAAGAAGTCCATGTTTGGCGCACCTTGGGTTTTCAGCAATTGCTTCATGGCTGGCCCAGGCCACTTGAGCAACATGACGTTGCAGAACTACTTCTGCATATGAAGGACGGTGACCTGCTGGCTGCCGGCTGCTTCACTGGCAGCTGGCAAGCCAGACGCATGGAACATACTCTTCAAGTGCTTGACGGAGGACACGTCAGTCCCCTCTTCATCGACGCTCCACTTGGAGCAGTCTCGACCTCAGGAGTGGCTGCCTCTGCAGCCACTGCATCACCCTCTGCTGCAGATGCCCGCCGTTGCACCCTGCAGACGCTTGTAGATGCCTGGGCTTCTCAGGCCCATCCGCATGCGCTGTGTGAGCTGCCAGAAGTCTTGATGCTACAGATCAATCGGTTCTGGGACCCTGCTTTCCCGCAGCATAAGAATTCACAACCCGTAAGCGCTGGCTGCACTGTCTCCTTGCCCCACTTCCTGCAACCAGACAGTCTTCAGACCTCCCTGGCCAGATATCAGGTTCGAGCGATCTTGTTGCATCAAGGAGCATCCAATGCCTCCGGACACTATCGTGCTCTGACGCTGTCACCTGAAGGTGTAGCGTGGTTGCACGACGATGGTGCTTCAGCTGTGAACGTTACAATCAAACAGAGAGCCGAATTAGACAAGCAATCATATGTTTTCTTCTGCACGCTGATAGAGGCCTCTCTCTCTCCGTAGAGTGTCACTTCAAGTGTTGGACTCATCAGTTGATAGAACTGTACAGATTTTGCTAGTATTCTGCTGTCTTCTGCACTGCTCATGGGGCGCTCGCGCCGGGTGCAGTACAGGGGTAGCCTCCGCTTCATCACGAAGCCGCATGCACAGTCATGCACCTGACACGCTATGCAAAGCACTCCTTTGCCGCGTCGGAAGAAGAAGAAGAAGAACCCAAACTCATTAAGTCAGTCTGGCTAGGTTTGGCCGCTGCCAATGCACATTTTACTCCAAACCCTGAAGGTTAAGGGTCGAAGCCTGCGGAAGAAAGGAGATGCTTCTTATCTATGTTACAAAGTAAAATCATACGATAGCGACAGGAATGATATGCCGACCCACACTATCTAGCGCAACTCTAGTAACTACATGAGGCCCAACGCCTCGCCTCGGAGCTGCGCCGATTCCTCCGCCATGCCGGCGCAGGCACGCTGAGGCATTATTTCAGGCTTTCGGAGGGACTTCGTTTGCAAGACTCTTTCCCCTTATTTAATGGTGCTCGGCTTGCAAACTGTTCTCGGCGACAGAGAACACTGTCAAACCTAAAAGTGTTCCGACAAGAGGCAGATGCAGTTCGGAGAAAGCAGAGTTGCGAAGGGTGCCTCGTGTGGAGGGTATGTTGCTCACATTTAGTGACACCCTGTTTCGTTTCAACGTCGGAGGTGCAGCACCTTCTGGCTAGTGTTACCTCCACAAAACACGCCACTGTGGGTTTGAACTTGACGACCCATCTCGCAGACCGGTGTAGTGTCCTTGCCACCCCCGAGACTGTCCTGGTGTTGGGTTGCCCGCTATATCGTCGGGTAAAACGGTGAACATGAGCCTCACAATGATGATGATGCTGCTGCTGCTGCCGCTGCTGGTGGTGGTGGTGGTGGTGGTGGGGGCGACTCTCTCGGGCCACTCAACACTGTCATGTTCATGATGAATGAAAGCTCTCCAAGCCTTGGGGAGGACCACTGAGTTTGATCAAGATTTGCAAGCGCGTACCCTCGCCAGGCGAAGTGGAAGAGGCCTGGTTCGAGGACCGCTCCATGGAGAAGGGGTGGAGGATCTATGCTGGAATTTACAGCAGGCTTCAGAGCTTGAGGGTGTTCTTTTGATTCAGGCTTTCCGGTTCGATCCACGTGCTGCGTGGAAGCGTGCAAAATCTCGCCTCATGCCCTTCTATCTCCAACACGCATATTCAGCTTCTGCAGCCGGCGAAAGAAGATCCCCTGCCATCCATGCGAATACAGCACACGTCGCCGCCTAGGCCCGCAGCTTAGGGCCCCAATTTAAGTCCAAAGCGGTTCCTTGCAGAAAGATCTGGGTCGTCCCTGGCAGACAAGAGTGGACAAGAGGGAGTGCTGGGATGTGAGTCCAGAGAAGGAAAGCGCGTTAATCCCGAGGCCCAAAGCCGTGGAACGCTTCAAACATCGGCTGGATCACAGATTGACAGAGAGAGAGAGAGAGAGTGAGAGTGAGAATGAGAGAGAGAGAGAGAGAGGCAGAGAGACTTGCATGGGGTTGATAACAGTATTGCACCCCCAGATGCCGGAGCGCAACCGAATCTGAACCCCACCGTGTCTCATCAAGCTTGCCAGGTGTCAAGCCCCGTGCACTGTTTTGGGCCCTGAGTTCTTCAACCCCGCACCGACACACAGGAGATGAAGAAGCGAACGGGCATGAGCATAAAGGGGCTGCGGGCCCAGCCTTGATGGTGTGCAGCTTTGCAGGTTAGGCAAGTCTTTGTGGAATGTGCGATTATGTGGCATGATGCTGTTCCTGTACTGTAGGTCTGCAGGTCATAGGTAGGGTTGAAGATGGCGTCAAGCAAGGAAGAAGAGTTCGGGGCGCTTCAAGAGGATGAAGGACCGCACAGACCTCCTCCTTCAAGGGCCCCGAGAGGGAATGCTGGGCTTCCAGCAAGGATTAAAGAGTCTTTGTTGTTTTTTGCATTGCGTTGGGGGTCACATTCTTTCGGTTCTCGATACATGCTTCACGGGTTTAGGGCGAGCAATTTGCGGGCATCTGTGGGGGTCTGACATAATCTGCCCGACCCGGTGACCTAAGTGCTACGGTTGTTTGCAAAATAGGGAGACGAGCCCCAAGTCAAGCTCAATCGCTCATGCTGTACTACGCGCGAGGATTTCAGCACTTGTAGACTTGTAGGAACCACGGCATCCAGAAATTGGAGTTGGTATCCCACGACGGGTGCAACCTTCCGTTAACAATCCCACTTCCCACTATTTAGCACTTGCAAAATCCCTGCAAAGCTTTGTGCGCTGCTGGAAACTATACCCTTCTTACACCTTCAAGTAGTCGTCGGGCGAATCCTCAAGCAGAATCCCGCCCGAAAGCTGCGAAGCTTCTCAATGCAGAGGAGCTCACCTTCGCCCGGGCTCGGGAGCCAGCCTCAGCATGTAGGTTTCAGGTTTCGGCCTTTGGTTGTTTGGGACGGTTGTTTGGCAGATGAGTCGGATTTGGGCACTCATACGATCAGGACTCTGAGCCCTGCTTGCACCTAAGCCGACACTGCTGCCGACACTCCTTGAAAGTTGCTTCGAGTTGCTTGAGGTTGCGGTTGCGGTTGTGCGCTGTTCGGTTAATATAAGGTTGAGGCAGCGACCCAGCTTGCAGCTTGAGACTGCAGCTTGTCGATTCAGGAGCAGCAGACGGAAGCCAATCAAGGCTTTTAGACTTGACAACTTTGGCATGTATCTTTGCTTAACCGCGGCATAGCTTGTCCTGCCTGGCTCGTGGAACACAACAAGCCCTGCACCTGGCACATGAAGCCCTCAAGCCCAAAACCCGTCCCAAAGCCAACCCCCACCTGGCTTTAGGGACACTTGTTTTGGGCTGCAGGGCTTCTAGGGTCGGGAGGTCGGACAACATGGCCCAACTTAAATTTGGCAATTCAAACGTCTCGCAGAAAGCATTAGACAGAGCCTCACGCAGAGCGGCGGCCGGAGGTCACTACGAGCCTCGCCTTGGCGGAATCCAGCGACTTGGCGACGTGGTTCTCATCAGATGTTCTACACTCGCCCTTGTATACCGAGCCAGCAACACACTTTGATGAAACAACCTGAGGGGATGATCCTTGCATGTTCTGGCTCACAGGTGGTTGGCAGCTCTTGTATACACTGGCGGTGAACACGGCTGGGCGACCAGGCGGACTGTGAGACTGTACCTCACCCACGTCGGTGTTGTGATGCGTTGCGTCTGTATATGTTTGTGCCTTGTAGTCGAAGAGGCGAGGACCCGAAGATATCAGGCTCAGCCAAGTTTGGAGGCTCCCAGACTCCCGAGAGCCCAAGAGCCCCAAACTTCATGGACTCATGAACTGCCCTGAGCCCTGAGAGCACTCCCAAATGCTCCCAATGCTCCCAAGTCTCCACACAAGAAGAAACCACCAAGCCCAGGGGCCCTGGGCGAATGATCTCTGGATACTTGCAGCTTCCGACCTTTCCCGGGTTGAGGTTCCGAAACGTTAACGGAGACGCAGGGGCGCAGCAGTCCTCCATGCGGCGCAGGGCTTATGTGTGGGCATTCCCACCCTCCAACCCAAGCATAGCAGAGGCTGCGTGCTGCCATGCTGCTTTGGGCTTTGGACCCAAAGACCCAGCACCCTGAAATCCGCAAGCATCCCAGAAAGGCCGAGTCTGTGAAGAGGCCCAAAACTCAACTAAAGTACACGAAAAATTTGTTTGAACAAATCATGTGACGAGGCCGGAAAGGAAGAGGCACCCAAGAGGCCCCAAATGCTCTCCAGGGGGGAGCCACCACGCGGGTGAGCTGGAGGTGCCGCTTGGGCTTCGGGTGGGTCACTTGCGGCTTGCTTGCTCCGTGAGAAGCTCTACTCTAACCCCCCAAAAGCTTGTTTTGAGCCTGTATTTTGGATCACTTCTCTCAACTTCCCTGCAATTTGAGCCGCTAGGTCCCGTAGTGTCTTTGTGGAGGCCAGTCCGAACTACGCGAAGGATGTGGCCAAGTGCATCCACCAGGCCCCTACATTCAGACAAACTGGAGTTGAAAGTCGGGGAGGGAAGGCCTGAGTTCATGTAGTCCAAGGCCAAGAGGGGGGAGGACTTGGTAGGACTGCCAGGGGTGGTCCCAAAACAGCCTGGCATTCACCTCTCAGGAGGCTCTGTTCAAATTGCTGTCAGTAGACGTTTTCTTGCGAGAGTTCCAGGCATTGGAAGAGATGGACCGTGGCGGCTCCCAGTGGAACCTGGCTGTTCATTACCTCGAGGCCATGGGCGACCAGTGCTCTTCTTGTTTTGTGGGCTGTTTACGAGCCAGATCATCGAGAGTTTCTTAGCAGATCTCCAAACGCGTTTGGTGGCGACAGCATCCGCGCCACACCCTTCACCGAGAAGAGAAGAAATTGAAGCGTCGGCTGGCACATTCAATTGCGCGGACATCACTTACAGAATTCGAGAAGAGCAGAGTACTTTTTGTCAGTCTCATAGGAGTCATAGGAGCCATACCCCAAGCGAAGCAAACGGCGAAGGCCATGCTGCTCTTTGACCTGCCGTCACACGGAGACTGCTTTGAGGAAGAGGCACTTCACTCTGACTTTGCAAATGTAGGGTTGGGACAATGTCAGAAGCTTGGGCGTTCTCCACGCCGACTCAAGCAAACTGCCGACCTCAAGGCACTCTAACTCAGCAGTGAACCCAAAAGATAGAAGCAGGGTTTCGAAGAAGAGATAGCCGTGCCTTGGGTCCGGGTTCCAAGGTCTTCAAAAAAGGTGCAACGGTTATAGCCTTAGATCCACATGACATGGGCCCTGAAGCCATCAGGCCCCCGAATCCCCAAAAGCAGCTTTCACACGAGGGTGGCCTGCAGCTCATTCTGGCAGAGTTCCCGGATGGCAAGGCCCCAGCCACTCCGGGCTGAGGGCTTTGGGGTTTTCGTGGGTTTTTGGCCCCTTTCCGGCTGGGAAAGCTGGAGGGCCGGTCGTGCAGCGCATGGGTGTCAAAGGAGGTGGCTTTTAGCAGAACCATCCTCGAACTTAAAGCTGTAATTACGCTCACCCGAGCCCTGATGAAGAGCAGAACGGCAGCGCCCACCATAGCAGGTGGCCGAGATCTACCCGCTCTTAGCGGCACTCTTGCGGCATCACCTGAGGACGGACGTGTCCGTTTCGAGTGTTGGGTTCGGGGCCTGCTATTCGGAAATAAATCTGCAAGGGGATGATGTAGGGTACACGATCTAGAGTACATTCTTCTTCCCAAGCGTTAGACCTGTGACCTGATCCGGCAATGAACTGCAACAAATTCAGGCACACGTGGGAATCAGTCTGTTGGTAATTACACTTAGTCCATGACGGGGTTGATAGTCCATAGATGCAGGGCCACGTACGGTGTAGGTTCTTGGCGTTGTGTAATAAGGCTTTTGCGTTGCATCGGAGGCTGATTAGCTGAATCGCTTCGAATGCTTCGGAGGTCAAGGTTGGAGAAGCTGCTAAGGGCCTCGGTCCTTAGATTCGTTCGACTGTTTTGCGCTCGCGCATGTGCTTTCATCACGCGTCGAAGCTATGCTTGCAGAAGCGCCTCCATATCAACTGCTTCAAAAAAGCCAAAGCCACAAAACCAACTCCAGGTTCATTGAGCCTCGGCTATGCTTTGATTTTGACATTGGTTCAATCAGGCGTCCCGAGCCCCGAAATCTTACCCTTGAGAAGCGAGGAGTGTTCCAGAGGCCACCGAGGTTTATGTGCTGTCGGATGAGGAGGAGGTGGGCCGCCACACGGAGACACCCGTGAACTCCCCAAGAGTGGGACTGTGAGACGTCGGATTAACTGTAGGAAGATTCGATGCTAAGCAACCTTTCTTGTAAGGGTTTAGGGCTTAGGAATTTCGGTCCACACCCAATATAAGAACTAGAGTTCGGGGCGGAAAGACCGTATTCCAGACATAGCGAACTACCCAAAGCAGTCTGAAACCCAAACCATGCGGAAACCTAAGGCCCTACCGGCACCCCCCAAAGAAGCCAAGGCCTAAAGGGGGTGCATTGTTGGGGGCTTGGTGTTTACACGTTCAGGGCTAAGGGTTCAGCATCTCAACTCCAAAAGACTCATCGCTGGGATGTTTCTGGCTGTTCTCCAGTCGCCATGTCCCTGCAGCTGTCAGGTTTTGCGGTTAGGCGCTGTCCTTGGTCGGTTTATACCACAGCCTGAGCATGCATCTGCACATTCTTATGAACTTTAGAGACTCGAGACCTTCAGCCTTTTTCAGCCCGATCTTTTCCAGCAGGACCCGCTGCAGCTTGGCCGCAGCGTCTCCCTCCCACGTCCGGTCATCGAAAGGTGGGGACTTCCCCCCCCCCCCCCCCCAAAAAAAAAGGGAGGGAAAAGGCCTGGGCTTAGGGGGTTTGTATAGGAACAAGCAAACTTGACCCATCAAAAGACTCGAAGCTACCAACCCCAACCGGTGCTTGTGGGGATGACATCCCAACCCCAGACTCACCCAACCGTCAAGAATAGACCAGCATGCGACACCAGCGTGTCCTTTCCGCTCACCTGCGAGCCAGTGCGCTTGGGGAGGTCAAAGGTTTGAGAGGGCTTGCAGAGCTTGACTCGCCTGGCCTTCTGCAGGGCAGAGGAGGACGAAGAGCCGGAGAAGCCGAAGAAGCCATTCAAAGCCAAGACGAGGCTGCAACTGCGAGACGAGAGTTTCACGATGTTTTTTCCTCGAAAGAAGACATCCACCTCGAGAGACTGGATGCTGTAGGTAACATACTATGTTGGCTTCGAGTGAAGCCGCGGGCCCTGAAAGATTGCTCGTTTCGTGACATCGAACACCTTGGAAAATGTTGAGCTTGTATGTTGAACCCCTTTGTCGAGCTTCTCCGATCGCCTCCGCAGGCCAGTGGCCCGGCGACAGACCCTTCCGATGCCGGACTCGCCAGGGTGCCTGGATTCGCAGCGCGTCACTGTTTCGCGGCGCGCGTCCGCTCAAATTGTAGAGAGGGCTTCAGGATTGAAAGGGTCTTGGGATGTTTTGGGTGATGCAGAAGCAGAATACAAGCAGGGGCACTCAAAAGTCAACGCCGGCCAACGTTGACCTGGGATGCGGGGATCTGGAAAAGTGCAGGGTGGGGCAGGCTACCATACTACCAGAAATATAACTTAACATACACTATTTTCATGGTTGTAGCATACACTCTGTTCCAAAACGATCTTTATACGCCAAATCGTGCCCCCCTTCAGGGCCCTGAAAGTGCGAAGAAGCGGAGGCCCTGAAAGAAAGCTTCATATGAAAGCTTATGAGGTAAAAAATGGTACAAAACCCAGTGCAAGTTCAAGCGCTCTCCGAGGCCCAAAGGCGCCAGGCGCCCAAGTCTCCAGCTCCAGGAAAGAATCTTCGGCAGTTACCTTTCGGGTATAGAGGGATGAAGCAAGGGTTGAGATAGGGTATAGATTGGGTTTACAGGGCTTTAGGGACAGAAAATATTCCCGGTCCTGCACCTCACAAAGCAACCAAACCAAGATGGGCTCCGGATGCCTTGGCTTAGGCCTTTGGGCGGCTTCAGGGGTTGGGGGCTTCAGGGGTTGAGGTGCACCAAGCTTATGTTACTGCTGCTGCCCGTGCTGTTTCTGGCATCGGCAAATTCTCGGGTCAATTTCCTATCAGCGGCCCAAAATTGGAGATACCTCCCATACTCGATACAGTGCTGGCAGATGGGTGGATGTTGGGATGCGCCATCTTTTAGCTCGGGATCCCCGAGTAAACTCCTGTCGCTGCGATGTTGTTTGCGAGCATTGTGTTTGCAAAGGGGGGGGGGCCGCCACCCCCCCCCCCCCCCCCCCCCCCACGCGTTATTTAGCCGCGCATGAGTCTTGTTGAAACCCATCAGCCGGAAATATACAGGGAATAGAGGCCTTTCATAGGAAGAACCGATAAAACAGAGCAAACATCAATAAGGGTTCGCGCAAATCCTACGAACAGTAGTATGAATCCTATGAAAGATCGAGGGAATGAATAGGGAAATCCCAGAAAATGCGCACCTGTAGTAGAACCGAAGAACAGCAGAAAAATGATCTTTAGGAAAACTCCCAAGGTAATTCTCCGGCCCACCGTTTTTGCCAACTACGTGTTCGGGAAGAAGAGGATTTATAACAGCTTAGGAGATGAGAAGCCAACCCGAAGAGTGGATTTCACAGTCGTTTATAGGGTTTCGAGGGTTTGGTGCCAAGGAATTCGTCAGCAACACGGAACGTCTCCTGCACAAGTTCAAGGTGAGAGGGCGACTTTGTGCTTTACCCCAAAGCCCAAACCCTAACCCCGTCGCGTGTGGGGCATGTTCGATCAGTATAGGGGAGCGCGAACCATCCGTCGCAGTCCTAATCCAACGCTGCATCATGATGGATCATGCTCCTGCGTGTAGAACTTCCATGACGGATTTTGGGCTAACCGCGGTTGTGGCTTTTCTTGCGGGGCTTAGGGTTTTCTGACAGTCTTGGTTCAGGGTTGTTGAGGTTTTGCAGCATTAGGGACCCTGGTTCGATTTGTTTCGCTTCGCAGCCTCGAAGCTTTGCACGTCTGGGGGCTCTGTAGGGGTTAGGGTTTGTGAAGTGCTAGACTGCACAAGACCTCCACACCTCAAATGCCAGAGCCCACAGACATGCCACGACCAGGATCTTGCGCGATCATGTCGATAAGCAATCCGGTTGCCGTTGCCAGTCCTCCTGTGAGTGAGCGTTGCAGTGCAGCAGCAACACAGATGTGACTCATTGCACCATGTCAGAATAAGTTGAATGTTTGCGAGCCGTTGCCTAGTGCACTTTCAGGATGCGCTGGTCAAGGAAAATGCGGTGTCCTGCCTACTCAGGCCATGGGTTTCAGGCTTTGGGCAACCGAGTCGGGAGAAAGTTACACTAGTTGGAAGAAATTGGAAGAGACTGGCCAAAACGTCGAATGCCTTGCCCTCAAGCGCTGGACCGCTTAGATCGCTGGATCCTGAAGGTTCCCTACCCGGCCCCCATGTATCTACAGTAGAAGATCCCGAAAGTCCATGTCCTAAAGCCCTAGAAGGGAGGAGCCTGAACTCAACACTAAAGCCCTAGAAGGGAGGGCCCTGTACTCAACACCCTTGGAAGAAGCCCCCCCCGTTGCCGCCAGCGCCTTCCTCCTGAACCACAACATGGACAGCAAGCTCCAGGACAGAGCTGCCCAGTGCACCTGAATGACCATCCCTGGGTGGGCTCAGGGGCAGTTCGAGGTCGAGGGCTTTGAGCCCATGAGCCCATGAGCCCCTAAGCCTTAAGCCCTGAAGCCCCAGGCCACTGAAGTGCGGAAGCGCTGACCAAGTCCCTGTGCCAGGACGGGCTCCTCCGAGTCTTGGCAGACCTCCTGCAGGAGCCTAGATCTCTCCCTCTTCAGGCTGACATCTCCATGTAAAAGCTTTACGGGGGGCCTCTGATGGTGTTGGAGGGTGTCTGTGAATTCTGTTCTCAGTAGAGAGGGCTCCCGCACTCTCAAAACAAGCTACGGAGTTGGTGCCTGAGGTTGATGTGTCCATCTGTGACATTCTTTCAGGTGCGGCCTTGAAGAGATCATGTGCGAAGGAACCGGAACCGAGGCCGAGGTTTCCGAAGCATCCGCCCCCCCGGGCCGTCGTGCTGCCAGAGTGCCGCCAGACTTCCGCAGAAACTCCGAAACTCCGAAGCAAGCACATGGCTTGGGATGGTCAAGTCAAAGCCTGCAACATCTGAAGTCTAAAGCCCTTCGGTGATTTTGCCATGCTGCCAAGCTTTCATCTTCGCAGATCGCTGTGCAGCAGCGCAGAAACCAAGCAGCGTCAGACCACCAGATGGCCCGGCCCCCCACCTTTCTGCAAGAGAGGACAAGTCCTGCGGCGCATCGGAGGCGGCAAAGGAGTTTCGGCTGTTCGGTGGCTTTCCCAGAATTTGCACCCCACGGCGTATCTCATTGGCCCTTTGCTCTTTGCTTGAGCGGGCTTTAAGAGCAGTTGTGGAGTCCAGTGCTGGTCTGAGGCTTCGGATTTTAGGGTTGGGCCATGCGGAACTGTGCATCTGCAAACTCGGCGCTTCTCTCTGATGAAATTGGGGCAGAGCTTTCTTTTATTTCAAAGCTGTATTCCGTGAGCCGTACACATGGTTCCGACTTCTCGGACACCCTAGGTTCTAGAGCCACCCGGACAGAGAAACCCGAAAGCCCAACTGTAGATGGGAGTTTAAGGGAAGGGTTTCTGCTTCCTTGAGCCAGACCATGACAGAGACCCTTGAGGCTTATGGCTTGGTGTTGCAGATTCTTGCTGGGCTCGCTGCTAAGTCTTCGGGTGCAGGAAAGACTCGAGTCTCAAGGGGCAGGTTGGGTTCGGGATCGATGCACGATTCGCACGGCTGTGATCAGACCGCAGGTTTGGTCCAAGAATACAAAGCCGGGCACTGGCCCAGCGGCAAGTCAAAAAGCCTGGCGAGAAATGGATGCAGTGACGGCAAATTTCAAGCCCGTGAGCTTGGTGCCCTTGAATGGGAGCTCGGGCCACCCCCACATGTGCCGTCGACCGTGCGTGCGTATGATGCGCTCCGGAACCTGCGCTTTGGGCATGCAATGCTCGTTTTGCCACGAGGCCAGGACGACCAGATGCAGATTGGGTTCTTACATTGGCATGACCCCCTCCCCCCCCCCCTTATAAGGCCCCTAAACTGAAGCCATCCTCAACTCAGTGTCTGCTGCAAGGCGCACGAGGACGATCGAGCCAAGCCAGATAAGGAGCAGCGCAAGCTGCTGCAGACCCTACGCGAGGAGGAGTCCCTGGGGGAGAGTTTGCGCAACCCAGGTCACGAAACGAGAAGGGGGCGCGATGGCCCACCCCATAAACAGACATGCCCGAAGGACAAGAGGGCGGTTCTGCTTCCGCACCTTCGCCGCAAATTCGATGACTCTGCGATCCGTGACCAAGCTGCTCCTTTCCTGAAGCTTCTGGAGGAGGCCGGGGGCAGCCTTCCATAGAAGCCGCTCCTGCGCCCTCAAAGAGCAGCCATGCGAACACGTGGAAGGGCCCTAGGGTTGCAGGGTGACAGAGTTGCATATACCCAAGGTCTTCAGACCTCAGAGTGATTCTGTGAAGGAAACCGTCTCGGACACCGTTGGCTCGGCAATCAGCTGCAGGAAGCTGAAAAAGCTTGACAGGCAAGGGGGCGCGGCGAGAGAGAGCCATGCTGATGGTTGAGTCTACGGGTTGAGAGGGTTCGAAGGGGCCTAGGCAGCTGGTGGGGAGTACTGCGGGTGCCATGAGGCCACGAGGTGTTTGACAATTGCTTTATAAGTTGCCAGGCGTGTCAGGCCCCCGACTTGAACGGCAACATGCAGCATACCCTGGCCACATACATTGCATATACACATATGTAAATAACCATTGTACATGTATATGTTCTGCTCATGTAGAACCTACGCAATCATTCAAGAGTGCATGGCAAGCATGCACACGTACATCGGTGTACACACACACACACTTATGCTACGCACCCACACCAGCGACCTTGAGTTTTTTAGCCTTTGTAATATTCTCAGATCGAGTACCGGGGTAACGAAGGACAGCCTGAGGCACCCACCTCGCAGACAAGCCAGCATTGCATTAATCTGTGGATTTCCCAGTACTGTTTTTTAGTTTTTTGAGCGGGTTGGGAGTTTCCGGGAAAGCATTTGTTAAATACTATACGAAAAGGCTACTGAAGCATTGTAGTTTTCACATGTTCATGAAATATTCGTTGCATAACTCATTATCTGCGGCGTTAACCAAGTAAATTGGCACTACTTAAAAAGCTACTTGCACACAACTAGCATGCGCCCTTAATTTTCATTGAAACACCACCGAAATATTGTGTCTGTAAAGCACATGCATTTTGCTGGCATAGCCTAAAATGCGAAATGGATTCTCGTAAGCTACTACTTAAGGAGCAAACCGTTTGCATTTACCACTAACTTTTCTCCTAGAGAAGCGCAATCTTCTTAGAAACGCATAATGTTCCTAGGAACATCTACAATTCCTGGGAGGGGGCGGGGGTGACAGGTTGAGGGGGAGGGGGGTTGAGGGGGGAAGTTGCTGGGCGGCGGTGCGGGCGGGGAGGGATGAGGTGGGGAAGGACCAGTACTCAAGACAAAAAAGCACGAAAGCATCGTTAAGGAGTAGAAAACAAAATTCAACGGCAAGGCCAATACAAAATAGACACGTTCAGGGAGCCTTGCCAAAATCAAGAAACCAATACCACAAAACCCAAAAAAACACTATCAAGTAGGTCAGAAGAACGAAACAAATCAAATCAAACGAAGACATCCAGAGGTCTTGGACATTGGTGTTTTCCATCAAGAGTCCCTGAGAATTGTTGTTTGTTGCTTTTGATGTGTTCGTATTTTCTTTCTTGGTGCCTGCAAGAGAGAGCCTCAAAATGTTTCTTGGCGGGGTGTTTGTTCTTCTGGTTTGTGGTATGCGTTGCTTTTGGTTTAGTTTAGTTTAGTCTTCCAGTCAGTTAGTTAAAACACATACGGCGCACCCAAGTTTCCTCGTAATGCAGCTGGGTGACCTAAGACAATGGCCAAAAGGTCGATGCCTGGGGGAGGCGGGTACTATGCAGATATGCACACTTCCCTAAACCCTAAACCCTAAACCCTAAACCTTCTTTCGTACCAACCAATTTATACCCGTCTCCTTGTCTCTAGATCCAAAATCGACGTTGAAGAGTTCGGATTGAGGTCGCCCCCAAGACTTGGTCCCTAGAACTTTTCAGATTTCTCATGCGGAATCTCGCAGGATGCATTTAGTGTTTAGGGTTTAGGGTTTAGGGTGATGGGTGATCCATATCTTGTTCCCAACAGATCCGTCCCCACATAACGGGGGTTGGTTTGCGTGCCTGGTGAGCCACGGCCTGAAACCTCGCTTTTGCCGAGGTGCCCGATAGTAAGCTTTACTAGAGTTGTATACGGGAGCTCACAAGAGGGTCCAGATCGTCTCCCGAAGCCAAAGACCACCTCTCGGAGGAAAAGTTGCCACGTCTCAACAAATCCATTCCTTTTTGACCTACCCCCCCCCAATTCCCCCAATTCCCCAACGTAAGGCTCATTTTAAACGTAGATGCTCCATTGTGTTCCCTTTTTGGCGAGTGCTCAGACTGGCCTGTGAGACATTGTGAGACCCGAAACAACAGCATGACCCTACTCGACCCCCCCCCCCCAGACCTTGGTGGTCCCGTCAGGGTGCTTGCTCGCATGACGATCCCTGCACTCGCGCTTTGGAATGCAACATGAGCTTATGCACTCGATCCTCTCAGAGCTAACCTATCTTACAGGTCTGGGCTGAGACTTACTGCAGGTTGTTGACGGAATGGAGTGTGCTAAGCTGGCAGGACGCTGAGATCCCCTAGTGACCTAAAGCAACTTTAGTTCTGCATCTCTCTTAGGACGCAGGGATTTTCCTTGAAACAGGGCTCGCCCTACCCCCTGGTCCCGTCTTGGCCCCGAAGCCTTATGTTCGTGAATATCTGGTTCAAGCATCTTCAGATGCATTTCGGTACGAGGGTAGCTCAACGCGGATTGGAAATCCCTAGGAGCTTCAAAACAAAGTCCTAGAAGCCTGCAGGTACCAGAGCCGCCCTCCGGCTTGGCTTGTAGGGACCCTAAACCCCAAACCCCAAACCCCTAAACCCTAAACCCTAAACCCCAAACCCTAACCCCTAAACCCTAAACCCTAAACCCCTAAGCCTATAAGGGAGCAGCCTTGAGCGCCCAGGTCAGCTACTTCCCTCACCGCTTCCCGGAGTTGATGGAGGCAGAGCTTGATGATTTGAGATCTATGCCCACACCACACAGTGTGAGCCAGGGGCTCGTGTTTCTACGATGCTGGAATCCGTGCAGGATTCCGAAAAGCGTTTGAGGGGCTTCACGCTGCTTCTAGGGCTCAGGCACCCAACATCTCACAGCACACGGGCTCTGGATGATACAGAGAAGCACGCGGTTTTTCAGTGGGTTGCACTGAAGCATCCACGCGCACGCGGTTGGAGACGCAATCGCGAGGTGGAATGTATTGATCGTCTGTTTGAGACGTTTTGTGACAAGTTTTTGAGACAAAAGGCCACTGGAGTGACGATATTGATGTCGGCTTGGGGGGGAGTGAGGAACGTCACAGTTTTTCGGTTCATTCCTTTGCTTTCAGCGGCCGATTTTTGTTGAAAGTATGCGGGCGTCAATGCCGCGGCCCTGCTTTCATTTTGTCATCCTTTTGCTCTTGCTTTCCGGAGCCTCATTGAGGCATCTGGTATAAGCCATCATGAGTTTGGCATGTGCCGCCCCCCAACTGCAAAGCAACAAAGGACCCAAGAATGCCGAACTAAGCCCAGACTTTTGAATCCTTGAAGCATTTCACTCCCATAATTCCTCAAGCCCGAACCTCCAAGCTGGTTGGGGGAAGCCCATGCGAAACTCATCTTGAACCGTAGGCGATAGGCACAAGTCTCGGATTTCCTGGAGCAGCAGGCGATCCCCGACAGAATTCGCAAGCGTGCTAGCAGTACGTGCGGCTTCGTTTCAGCCCCATTTTCTCCCAGTTGGGTTAAGGCGCTTATTGTTGTGTATGCTCGCACTTGGTGTTTGTGGAAGCTTATCTCGAGAAGCTGGGCACGCGCAGAACGTCACCAGTGGTGTTGATGCTTTAATTCGTCTCAGTCTCCAAGTTGCCAACCTTTACAGTCAAGGCTCTGAGCTTGGAGGCCGAGGAATTTTCAAAGCCCGAGATTCCCGAGATTGTCAACTTTTTGTGAGTTCTGAGGTTCCTTGAGCTCTGGATGACCAGGGACACTACTCCAGGACATTCCACATAGGGCGCAGGCCTGCAGGCCTGCAGGCCTGCCTGTAGGCCTGCCTTCGTCGCAGGTAAGCCCAAAAGGCCCCGAGCCCTCACGCCGCAGGCGTACAAGGATTTGGGGGGCTCGGGCCTCTTGGACATGAGCAGGGTTTGCTGAAGTCTGCACCGCGTGTGCATATCAACAGCAAGCATGGCAGAACCAAGAAAGTGCAGGGATGAACGTTGATGAACGTTGATGTGCAGATACGTGAGGCTTGTCTTGTCCCCGCAACCCAAAGCCTCAAAACCTCGACGTCTTCCGACCATTGAGGCGCGGATGGTAGCAACGGGCCCCGGATTCTACTTGAGCTCATGCCGCGGACTGAGAGAACTTTTTCCGAGAGGTCCATGTCAATACGGCAATACCCTGCTATACCCTGCTCTTGGCTACGCACTCCGAGAGCCGACGGCCCTGCGTCCCGAAACTCCGCTGTCACAGCTCAGCACCAAACCTCAAATGAGGAACGGCAACCTCAGCAACGCAGATCGAGTGACTTCGGCCGGGGTCTCAGGAAAGCTGCCCTGGGCATATTCACTTGCGCCCTATGAAACTCTGAACGTGATCACAAGTGAGGGTAGTGGCAGATGACCCTCCTAAAGGCAGTTCCAAGTCTGCTCGTTCGGCAAGACGCGATTGACTTACGTATGTGAACGCATGACTCTAAACAGCTGAACCATGTAGTGCAAGCACGGCACAGTGGAACCCCGAACCTGGACCCATTGGAAACCGCGCTAGAAAATCCCGACCCCACATGACACTGAATTGCTAGTTTCAAGGCGCGGCCAACCAAAACTAGCCGATCGCTCTGGTCCTCATAGGCCCAAAGGAGGCATTCCACCACGCCAGCTAAGTATCTCTGAACCCCGCCCTTAAACCCTCAGCTGGACTTTTGGACATGAGAGTGTTGAGCTGGCTACGCAGACTCTCTACGCCCTGACTGGGGCCCTGAAGCTCAACTCAGGCCCTGTGCTTGGCGGGTTCGGGGCTGCGGGAAGGAGGGCTTGGGGTTCTGGCTAAGGCTTACCAGGCTACCAACAGGCCCACTCGGGCTTCGATTTGTTTTTTGGTTTCTTCAGCGTTGGTTGGGGAAGGCTTGCGAGCTTGGCTTACTGGGTTTTTTAGCTTCAGCTTGTAGGCATACCCAACTCTGTGAAAACCCCTTTCCCTCAAAGCAAGATCAAGCTCCTCAAGTCCACGCTGGTGGGACGGGGTGCGGCTACTGCGAACAGAAGGTGCAGCCATGCTAGCTGGTCAAGTCCCTTATAACCCCCTTCGAAGGCGTTGCCGAAGCCATGGCATCTGAATTGGCAGCCAAGCTGCTCATCGAAGCGGCTTGGAACCTAGCAGGGCCCGATTAGCAGATGCCGCTTTTGGAGTTCTCTCTTGGGGTTCTTTGGGGTAGAGTGGGATCGCGGAGCAGCTGGTGCTTTCCGGTCATTGGGCACCCTAGGTTGGCATGTCGGTCTCTTAACCCATGCTGCGCCAAGCCATTAGCCTTAATGTACCATTGTACTGCCATACACGCATACATGGATAGATGTATATGTATATTTACATTGTAACTCATTTACAGTCTACAAGCCCCGCCCCGCACAATTCCGCAAGAAACATGAGAATCACGCTGGTGCCAGGCCAACCGACCCAGTCCATAACGATTGAATGTCTACTCTTTCATTTCACACACTGCGCCCGATGCTGGTGCCTGTATAACATTCCAGAAGGCTGCAAATCACATTACCCTGGTATTGTAAGCCATTGTAAGCCCTGAACACATCTAGGCCCTGCACCCAGAGCCACTGTTGGAAACCATCTGACGAGTCCGGTGCTAGTACCTTCACTGAACGATCCAGAAGTATCAACAAACCACGCTCTGCCTGCCGGAAGCGATCGGCCCTTTGAACTCTGTGGCACTACACCCACGAAGCCCTCCTAACCGGATGTGGAGCTGGCTACACAGCAGAATTCTCCCAAGTGAGGTTTGGCAATACCGCACCTGCAAGAGCAAACGACGACGGGGCATGGTCTTGCTGAGGACATGGATGTTACATGATGTTACCATATGTGCCCCCGTAAACCCTACAAAGGTACCCTAAATATGTTTCAACCCCCCCCTCGTAAACACCCTCTCTAACACAATCCCCTACACCCCGAAACCCTACTCCCACACTCTGAAGAGCCCTCTCAGCGCTCCAAGAGCTCTCCTTTTGGGAGGAAGATCCGGGATGCGGACCCCGATCTGACGGTCTCCATGCTCCGGCGCTGGAAGGCGCTTCCTTCATGTGGTGCAGAGCTATCCTTTTTTGGGATCATGTGGGGGGGGGGGAAGACGGGAGAGTGTTGGAGGCTGAGGAGGGCTTCTTTATGAGGCTTCTTCAACTACTGTATCCACTTTGATCTTCATCTTTTGTCCTTGGCAGGCGGGGGGAGTCGTTTGCGAGATCGTATAGTGCCAGAGCACCTCTCATGGGGCGCAGAAAAAACTGCCAAAAGCAGCGGGTGAGTGGAGGAGATGCAGAACTTGGCGAGGAGACTCTCCTATTCTTTCCTAAACCTCACGCGAGACACCGCAGAGAGCGCCCTTCGCCCCCTGAAGCGGTTCCCTGCTTTTGCCACTTTAGCCACTTTGAACTTCCTACACCCGTTCTGGAGTGGAGTGGAGTGGAAGGCGACCAGGACAGAGTCCGGTCAGAAAAAAGCGGTATCACCTCCGGCCCGAAAGCTTAAGGATCAAACCGCAAAAAAACGAAAAGAGAGAGAGAGAGAGAGAGAGAGAGAGAGAGAGAGAGAGAGAGAGAGAGAGGGGCTTTTTAAGAAACAAAAACAAGGTCCGCGGCAAAGGTAGAAAAAACCGCAGAGGATGGCTCTGCAATGGAGCGGGGCAGCGCCAAAGGTAGAAGACCCGCAGAGGATGGCTCTGCAATGGCAGAAAGACCCGCAGAGGATGGCTCTGCAATGGAGTGGGGCGGCGCCAGCGGTCGAAGGACCCGCAGAGGATGGCTCTGCAATGGAGGCCGCGTCGGCAAAAAAAAACCGCTGAGAGTCAGCAAAAACAAAAAAAACGCAGAGGATGGCTCTGCAATGGCAGAAGGACCCGCAGAGGATGGCTCTGCAATGTAGTGGGGCGGCGCCAGCGGTAGAAGGACCCGCAGAGGATGGCTCTGCAATGGAGGCCGCGTCGGCAAAAAAAACAAATCCGCTGAGAGTCAGCAAAAAAAAAAACCGCAGAGGATGGCTCTGCAATGGCAGAAGGACCCGCAGAGGATGGCTCTGCAATGTAGTGGGGCGGCGCCAGCGGTCGAAGGACCCGCAGAGGATGGCTCTGCAATGGAGGCCGCGTCGGCAAAAAAAACCGCTGAGAGTCAGCAAAAAAACAAAAAAAAAACGCAGAGGATGGCTCTGCAATGGCAGAAGGACCCGCAGAGGATGGCTCTGCAATGTAGTGGGGCGGCGCCAGCGGTCGAAGGATCCGCAGAGGATGGCTCTGCAATGGAGGCCGCGTAGGCAAAACAAATCCGCTGAGAGTCAGCAAAAAAAAAACCGCAGAGGATGGCTCTGCAATGGCAGAAGGACCCGCAGAGGATGGCTCTGCAATGTAGTGGGGCGGCGCCAGCGGTCGAAGGACCCGCAGAGGATGGCTCTGCAATGGAGGCCGCGTAGGCAAAACAAATCCGCTGAGAGTCAGCAAAAAAAAAAACCGCAGAGGATGGCTCTGCAATGGCAGAAGGACCCGCAGAGGATGGCTCTGCAATGTAGTGGGGCGGCGCCAGCGGTAGAAGGACCCGCAGAGGATGGCTCTGCAATGGAGGCCGCGTAGGCAAAACAAATCCGCTGAGAGTCAGCAAAAAAAAACCGCAGAGGATGGCTCTGCAATGGCAGAAGGACCCGCAGAGGATGGCTCTGCAATGTAGTGGGGCGGCGCCAGCGGTAGAAGGACCCGCAGAGGATGGCTCTGCAATGGAGGCCGCGTCGGCAAAAAAAAATCCGCTGAGAGTCAGCAAAAAAAAAAAACCGCAGAGGATGGCTCTGCAATGGCAGAAGGACCCGCAGAGGATGGCTCTGCAATGTAGTGGGGCGGCGCCAGCGGTCGAAGGATCCGCAGAGGATGGCTCTGCAATGGAGGCCGCGTAGGCAAAACAAATCCGCTGAGAGTCAGCAAAAAAAAAACCGCAGAGGATGGCTCTGCAATGGCAGAAGGACCCGCAGAGGATGGCTCTGCAATGGAGGCCGCGTCGGGGGAAAAAAAAAAAGGGCAGAGGATTGCTCTGCAATGGAGGGCGCGGCGCCAAAGGTAGAAAGATCTGCGAAGGAGCGCGGCGCCAGGCGCAAACCGGTACTGTCGCCCCCAGTTGGCCCCCCTGAGTCGGCTGGTTGGGTGCTCATCGGTCCTCAACAAAGACCTTAGTACCGCGGTTGGGGTCCTCAACCAGCAGCTACCAACACAGGGAAGTTCCCCAACCAGGGCCCAGGGGACACCCGTTCTGGGAGCTCACAGTTTGACATGACGCCTCTCAAGCTCCAGCTTCCACCACCAGCACAGCTCCGTACTCCGTCCGACATGTCCGACATGTTTTTGCTGTGTCATCTGACAGAGGCTCACGTGGCACACTTCGAGTCGGACCAGGAAACGTGGTGGGGGAGGGAAGAGTTGGCAATTCGGGAGTCGTTCAGAGTCGTTCATGGTCCAGGCTGCAGGGCTTTCAGTGCTTCGGTACACGTGGCTTGGGAATCCTTGTAGAAGTAGAGACCCAAAGAGCAAAGCCTTGGCGTGTCGTCAGATTGTTTGGTCCCCCTATGACAGTTTGAGGTGGGCTTCTGGTGCCCATGCTTGGAGCCTGGAGCACTCTGTCTAGGGCTTACTATAGTGTCCTTGACCTCTGCTTACTGAAGAAACACCACGGAATGCAGTAAGCTTTCTTTGTCGCACTGTCCCCACACTGTCAATTAGTATCTGTGGAGTTGTGACTTCGGAGAATGGGCCGGAGGCCCAAATCATTCAAATCCCACATGCCAGAGCTCGGAGTTCAAACATCTTGAATGAGCAAGACATACCTAGCAGATCTCCAAAATTCTGCAACCCAGAACTCACTCTATCTTTCGCTCTCTCACTCGCAGCACCTTCAACAGACCGACTTAACATGCCTTGATAAACCCCCTAAACCCTAAACCCTAAACCCTAAACCCTAAACCCTAAACCTTTTTCAGCGATTTCCAGGGCATCGGTCCACGAGTCGTGCCGGGCAGCACCACCCCCAGCGTGCGCAGCGAGGACGAGGCCCCAGGCGAGCCGGAGGAGGCCCCTTGGCTTTTTCAGGGTTTAGGGTTTAGGGTTTGGGGTTTGGGGTTTGGGGTATGCCAGTCCAAGGATTAGCAAGTGGATCTCTTTGAGCAATTGAAAACTGGCCAGTCTGTGAGCTGATGACGAGTGTCGGGTCCACACTGGACAAGCCGGAGAATTACGGACGACTCAGCTCTTTTGCCCAACATCATTCAGGCAAACTCTACTCTACTTCTCTGGGTGTTTGA